ATATACCGCCACCATAAAACTATAAAATCACTAACATAAGAGTAAGATGATTCAATGTTTCCTGCCTGGAAGGATTTGTGTCTATGATCAATGGAGACAATGACAGGCCCCACCAGACCCACTGCACTTTTCAGATCACTCTCCGATTTCGACTGTATGTAATACACACCTGATATTGTCGCACCAATTTTAGCAGAGTTGTAGCGACAAGTCTTATCCTATAAAATAAAGCGCATGACAATTGTTGAGATGTTGTCAACTATTTTTGTTACCATTGCCTTGTATGGGTAATAATTTTGTGTATCGATGCCTCCGCCGTTTTCTAGAATGTATTTGAAAGTGTTCCTGTAGTTGCCTCCATTACAGCCAGCATTCCCATAGCCAGCTAGTATTATTTAAATGCATACACTGGAGGATATGCAGTGTATTATTACTTGAGCAGTCAATGACATTTTGTTCACTCAGTCTAACCCTAGAGCCAGTGCTAATGGCATGATGGCTCTCAATTGAACCGACAGTAGAAAACGCATAGCAAGAATGACACCTATATTCACCCTGTGATTGTAAAAGTTGCAAAATTGAAGTAACATTGAAAACGTTATTGCATGCATAAATTGGTGTACCAGTATAATAGTTCTATTATTTAATTTCACAGACACTATGCATGTATAATTATTAGTATATACTTGGCTCTTGACGTAAGTGACGACATTTTTCTTCCTCCAGTCAATAGAATATGGTAACTCTGCATCTCTGGGAGGGTTATACTTCTGCCCAATTACCTCATCAGAATTCTCATTGCTTACAATATGGCAAGTATAAATACTTGAATATTCCTCAGAAGTCTATACAAGAATAATAATGATGATAAGTACAGTAAAGGATTTAGCATTTCTTACTAAATCTCCAAATTGATTCATTCTTAATGTAAAACTCAGGTTCTTAGCATTGTGCTCATTAATATACTTCATATTGTCTTGCCATATTAAGTATCTCTTTCCCTCTTCCTCGCTGCTTTGGTAAGTGATTTTATGCTCTCCTTTCCACAGCCTCCATTCCTCAGCAAACAATCCTTCAGTGTCAAGAGGCTCAGCTCTCACAAGTAAAACTGCATTCATAAATACAATCCATGAAAGCAAAGCCATTGCTGCAGGAGAGTTCTAGCTCTTAGACTTTGTTACGTAAAAGTCTACCATGTACTCTTTACTCTCTCTGCTATTTAAAAGAGTAGATTATGTTTGCTTCTTGTAATCAGGATGGCAGGAGTATTGTTTGTCCCATTCAGAGCTACACAAAATCAAGGAGAGCTATGAATGAAGTGGCAATGTGCTTAAATGCACGACAAAAGCAAAAATTTAGTTCCACTGCTTAGAGTGTCTGGAACTACACAAAAAGCGCACAATAGATATCAGTGTTCACAAGTTATAGTAATTTAGCTTAGTTCAGCAAAGGTCATAGCAGTATTAAATGAAATTACATATACACTTAAAAAATAGAGTTTAATAGAGTGAGGGGCCACTATAGAATCAGATGTTAATACCATTCTCCAGGTATTCTCTGAGATCATCTTGTTCGAACAAAGTCTGAATGAACAAAAAAACAACCATACATAATTATCCATTAAGATTTTCTAATGTAATGACATGCAATAGAGGCAATGCAGAAAAAGCATTATACTTCAAGAAGAACTATTATTATTTTAATATAATACCTCAATAACGTAAGCAGCAGCCCTAGTCATGTCTTCAAACACGTCTGCAGCAATATTTTGGATGTTGTCACAAAACTATAATCATAAAAGTGTGACAACAGGGCTCTATGGTGCATATATGCTTACTTTATGATAGCAAGGATCTAATGGAGCATTAACAAGGCCACCATAAGCCTCATACTGCTCTTTAGTCTTCAATGATCCAGCACCAGTGAAAAGACCACCAGCTACATTCGAATAACAATATAAATTATTATTATTAATAATGAGTTCTACCTGGTATATTAACATCCATAAAAGGACCGTAATCAGAGCGACCAGTAAATGGTACTATATCATAAGCTAGCCCATTATTTCTGAAAAAATTAAAAAGAAATTAAAATGTAAATTTTTAGTTAAACTAGAGCTCACTCAAAATATTGTATAAAAAGATCTTGAATTGTAGTTGAAGCAGCCAAGATCTCTTCATCTGCCTAAAATATAAAATGCACATAATAAATTGTATTATTAATAATAATAACTCACTGACGAGCCATTGTATATGCCACGAATGTAATTTGGTGAAGCCTAAGATTCATAATAATGACACA